TTTTTTTTTTTTTTGGCAGGTAATGTTTCTTATTGCACACTTTTTTCTTTATTTTTACATTCAGAATGTTTTAAAAATTCCATTTACAAGTCAATTGTTTATAATAAAATTCTATTCAATCGGTAGACTCATAACAATTGAAAACAATGTTTTTGTTTGAGTTTGGGATTGACCAATTCGTAAAAAAAAAAACTAAGACATGCGTGTCCGTCAACGTTAAACAATAATCTTTGTCAATTTTATTTTTCAGTCTTTATGATGGTCAATACTTGATCTATCTCTTACTGTTACATCCCCGGGCAATGCCGGGCTCTACTGCTAGTACATTCTAAAAGGGAAACGAGAATGGAACATCCCACATAATATTGTCAGGTTGTCTTTTATTAATAGCCTGCTAAATATTTGTTCTTAAATGCATACTATACCCTCTTTGTGTAATAAATACACACACAGATTTCCAGCAATCTAAAAAGGCCAAGATTTAGCCAAAAATGTTGTTTACCACACTGACAACGCCCAGTTCTTGATGACAATTATTGAGAAATTGTAGTGATTATCAGTGTGATCCTTAACAAAGGTATGTATCAATCTGTTCTCTCCCTCAGAAATGGATTAAATAACAGGACAGTCTGGACTCTCTAGCCTTAGTTATCAGTTTCTGAAATCAAAACCTGTGATGTTATGGACATTTAACCCTTTGACCCCTGCATTCCTGAACAATTTTTAACCTCTTCTGCCTGGGCAACTGAGTCAAAATTCATAAATAATTGGCATGTAATAGTTTCAAGTTTTTATCCACTGTTCAACTGATGGCTGGGCATTACATTATTTTTCCCTACCACCGGTAAAGCGGTGGTCAGGACTCAGAGTTAATGGTTAAAACAGCAATGTTCTGTGACCATTTCGCCTGTTCACTGGATGTGTAATATTAATAATAATAATCACACACACACACACATCTTTTTTTAAACCTTGCTTTGCTTCTTCCTTCAATTTGATAATTTATTTTTTTTTTTTTTTTTTGTTTATTTTTTAAATTCAATGCTTATAGTGTAATTTGATAAAAATGGTATTTTTGTTGCCTTTAATTCATTGATTTTTCACATTTCAAACTACCTCTGCTGTTTGATGTTCAGTTTTTACTAGCCTTTCTAATCCTTTATGATTTTAAACAAATTAAAATTTTTAAAAGCCTGTGTGATGGTGTTGGTTGGGGGTGGCAAATGAAACAAATCTTATGATTCTTTCTCACTGTGTGGCTTATTTGTTGAACATCTTCAGTTAATTAATTCGGTTAAGCTTTCATAATTTGATGAATGTCTGATCTCTCGCGTCGTGTGTAATGCGACAGCATGGGCACTTCAGCCAAGTGACCTTGTCAGAGCCATGCCACTACTACAACTACATATTTTTGCATTGGATGCAGTGGCTCATTTGGTAAAGATGTCGTTTCTTTAGCTGAAATACTTAACTTTCGAACCTTGTTACAACCTAACTGGGGAAGTAGTTCTTCCATCTTGCTGCTATTTACATTGTCTTATACTAGTCAAATCTGATAAGTTATCCAAATTAACATACAGCTTTACTGTGGCCATTGATTTTGTTTATATTAACAAAATATACCTTGGCCTTCATAATAAGAGTATTTTTGACTTTCTTATAGCCACAGTTACTATTATTGTTGATATGACACTGATTATTATTTCTGTAGAAGAAATTAGTATTAAGTTACCAGAATGATTAATTGTTAGATTACCACATCTTTAACTTTGCTAAAAGTACTATTGCAACTGTTAGATTATAGAATGTACGCAGAGTGCTACTAAATCTGCTTTTGCAATTCTTTCTACTGCTGTTGGTGTAGACATGTTTGTGGATCTTTCTGGCTGCTATTGTGACTTGTCCAGCATTCCCCCCACTCTATTTCAGTTGGTATGCTTCCATTGTTATATCGCAGTTTCCTACTTACTTTCATTCATTTTGCTTTGTCTTATTTTCTTCTCTTGTGATAATTTATAGTTGCACTTTAGTGGGCCGAAAGTTTTTAATGTGACTCTGATCTATCTTTTTATTGTATTTTTTTTCTTTTTGTTACTGAGTAAGAATTCAGTCTCTCACCTTCCATAGGTCCTTCCTTAACTTTCTAACCTACTGTTGCTTACACAGGTGTTAAATACTTTTAAGCCCATCATCATTGGGAACTCTTGCTATGGCAACAAACAATCACCTCGCCATTTCACCTGTTGTTTCTTTTGGCTTGCCTGCAAAATATATAAATACAGCATCCTGTACTTCGGTACATTGTATCGTATTTTTTTGTAAAGCTCAGATATTTTTTGCCTTTCTTTCTTTGTTTCGCATCTCTCTCTCACTCTCACACGCATCTCTCTCTCACACGCATCTCTCTCTCACACACGCATCTCTCTCTCACACACGCATCTCTCTCTCACACACGCATCTCTCTCTCACACACGCATCTCTCTCTCACACACGCATCTCTCTCTCACACACGCATCTCTCTCTCACACACGCATCTCTCTCTCACTCTCACACATCTCTCTCTCCTCTCATCTCCATATCTCTCTCTCTCCCACTCTCATCTCCGCCTCTCTCACTCTCATCTCTCTCTCCATCTCACTCTCATCTCCATATATCTCTCTCTCTCTCATCTCCATATATCTCTCTCTCTCTCTCATCTCCATATATCTCTCTCTCTCTCTCATCTCCATATATCTCTCTCTCTCTCTCTCTCTCATCTCTTTCGCTCGCTCGCATCATCTCAGCCTAATCTGGTACAGGCCAGAATTGTAGGGCATCCAGTGAAAATAGTTGAATGTAAATGTAACTTAGTATCCCCTGCTCACTGGCATAGCAACTCTTACTAAACTTTGCTTGGCACAAAGCCAAAGAAGTGGGGAACCCAGTGTGAGTCAAATAATAAACAAATTGGTCTTTGAGGCAAGCTTCTTAACCAATTGTTCCATGGAAAAGTGAACAACAGATACTTTATTTACTAAGCCTTGTATCATCTGGTACAAGTGCACAAGTTCCTTGCAGTGTTTGGCATGGACCTCTTCATGAAGCCATCTTTGTTTTTGTTTTTTTGTTTTTTTTTTTAAAAAGGAAATAAATTGTCAATCCATTGTTGTACAATTGACAAAGAAGCCTTTAGGTAAGGTTGTATTTTGTGTTTTATAAAATCTGTCACTCTCTATCTTAACCATGGAGAATTCAACATTGAGCAGAAATTCTACTGACACTTTGCTATATGTGATCTTAGCTTGGATTGAAAAACTGCTTGTAAAATCTTAATGCTTAATATTATGAAGTGTCTCTTAGATGACCTTGATCTTCATCTTGATCACTTCTGTTTGCTTTAACATTGGAATGAATCCTCCTCCTCCTCTCCCCACCAGACAAAAAAAGCCTCATCTTTACTATTCAATCCAATATCCCATTTTTATCTTTTGTTTTCTCTTCAGTTTTGTTTATATCCACTTGAAGAAGTTGATGAAAAAAGCTGATTTTTGTTTCTTTTTTGATTTTGTTCTTAATCATGAACACTTCCCTCAAAAGCAACTCTCTTCATTCAGACATGAATTCCCTTAAATATTCAAATCTATCAGTAGGATAAAATGATTCTTAACAGAAAGTAATAACAATGCCACTGAATGACCAAAATGGAAAGAAAGAGAAAGTCATCAAAGCATCAGCCATGGAGAACACTGCTTTTTCACCTGAATATGTTGCAATAAACTTTAAAACCTCTCCCCCCCCAATAGAACACATTGGATAGGATCACTGTTCTCAAATTCTACCTGTTTCAACCAGAATATTTTTTTGAATAGTAGCATTTATGATATGAAGTATTGTCAAATATTATTATTGAATCCCAATTATTTCATCTTAAATCTCACTCTTTTGCAAATTAAAAAGGGTCTAGATTTTTATCTTGGATTAATTTATAACATAAAATATTTCTATCAAATAAAAAAAAGAATACCTGTCCTGCTCAATAAAAAGGTTTCTGCTTTGACAAGTCAGGTGGGTTTCATGTAGCAATAATATTCATTTTTTGACTTTAATTTTTTTTCAACTTAATTTTGGTTGTTTTGCAGCCATTAGCAAATACCTGTTTATCATATGAAGTTGGACAATTTATAATAGATTGCTCTGCTGTTTCAGGCAGTAGAGCTAATGCTTGCAAAAAATCAAATTGAACCAGATAGACTTATTCCTTGTTTCTTTTCTGTAAATCCAACATTAGTATATTTGATGTTTTGTTTTTATATATTTGTCATAATATTATCTTAAATTAGATGAAGCATATAAAACATTAATTTTGATTTCTTTCATCTTATTTTCACTTGCATCTCATTACTGTCTCCCTGCAATCAAGGTTAGATCTAAAACTAATTTCATAGTTATTGTCTTCACAAAAAGAAAAAAAAAGATCTGGTTGACTGAAGAGAGTGGAAGACTAAACAGTTGGTTAAACTACTACATAACCTGTTCAGACTGTAGCAGCAAGAAGCTGTTACACTCGTTGGTAGCCTTGACAAGAGCCTTTCTTTCATAAACTTTTAGTATTATTTAAAAACTTCCTGTACTTATGAAGTTCTTTTCCTACCTGACTGCTAAAAGGGTGGGGTATAGGAGTTTCTGCTTGAGAATGTCCACAGAGGAAAACAAATGGAATGCCAAGATTGAAACAATGAAGACGACAATGTTAGTGTGAATAATTTCTTGCATAATGACATTATTTAATTTTTTAATTGCTATTATTAATTTTGTGTGTGAATATATTTAATCACCTTGACCTTTGTTGTCGACCAACAAATTTGTTTTACTTTTTGTAAAAGTTCAAGATAGCCAGTTGCGTCTGATTTTGAAAGATCAAATCTTGTCTTGGAAAATAATAGTAGCAGATTAAAACAATCTTTTAGATGAGATTAAATAAATCTTTTTAAATTTGAATTAATTCAACCAGTGTTGTAAAAATGAGATGGATTCATTTTTCATACAAAACACTCTCTATGTACAATTCTTTCTCCTTCTCTCCCGCCTTTCTCCTTCTCTCCCGCCTTTCTCCTTCTCTCCCGCCTTTCTCCTTCTCTCCCGCCTTTCTCCTTCTCTCCCCGCCTTTCTCCTTCTCTCCCCTTTCTCCTTCTCTCCCGCCTTTCTCCTTCTCTCCGCCTTTCTCCTTCTCTCCCGCCTTTCTCCCTTCTCTCCCTTTCTTTCTCCTTCTCTCCTTTCTCCTTCTCTCCCGCCTTTCTCCTTCTCTCCGCCTTTCTCCTTCTCTCCCCTTTCTCCTTCTCTCCTCTTCTCTTTCTCCTTCTCTCCTCCTTTCTCCTTCTCTCCCTTTCTCCTTCTCTCCGCCTTTCTCCTTCTCTCCCCCTTTCTCCTTCTCTCCGCCTTTCTCCTTCTCTCCCTTCTTTCTCCTTCTCCTTTCTCCTTCTCTCCGCCTTTCTCCTTCTCTCCATATTTCTCCTTCTCTCCATACCTTTCTCCTTCTCTCCCGCCTTTCTCTCCTTCTCTCCCTTTCTCCTTCTCTCCACCTTTCTCCTTCTCTCCCATGCTTTCTCCTTCTCTCCGCCTTTCTCCTTCTCTCCCGCCTTTCTCCTTCTCTCCGCCTTTCTCCTTCTCTCCCGCCTTTCTCCTTCTCTCCCTTTCTCCTTCTCTCCCGCCTTTCTCCTTCTCTCCTTCTTTCTCCTTCTCTCCCTTTCTTTCTCCTTCTCTCCCCGCCTTTCTCCTTCTCTCCACTTTCTCCTTCTCTCCATTCTCCTTCTCTCCCCTTTCTCCCTTCTCTCCCACTTGCCTTTCTCCTTCTCTCCCTTCTCCCTTTCTCCTTCTCTCCCCCTTTCTCCTTCTCCCCTTTCTCCTTCTCTCCCGCCTTTCTCCTTCTCTCCCTTCCTTTCTCCTTCTCTCCCGCTTTCTCCTTCTCTCCCTTTTCTCCTTCTCTCCCCGCCTTTCTCCTTCTCCCCCTTTCTCCTTCTCTCCCTTTCTCCCTTCTCCTTTTCTCCTTCTCTCCGCCTTTCTCCTTCTCTTCTCTCCTTCTCTCCCGCCTTTCTCCTTCTCTCCCTTTCTCCTTCTCTCCCCGCTTTCTCCTTCTCTCCCTTTCTCCTTCTCTCCATTTTCTTTCTCCTTCTCTCCCCGCTTTTCTCCTTCTCCCTTTCTCCTTCTCTCCCTTCTTTCTCCTTCTCTCCCATTTCTCCTTCTCTCCCTTTCTCCTTCTCTCCCCTTTCTCCTTCTCTCCGCCTTTCTCCTTCTCTCCCTTCTTTCTCCTTCTCTCCCGCCTTCTCTCCTTCTCTCCTTCTCCGCCTTTCTCCTTCTCTCCCTTTCTCCTTCTCTCCCTTTCTCCTTCTCTCCCGCCTTTCTCCTTCTCTCCCTTTTCTCCTTCTCTCCCTTCTTTTCTCCTTCTCTCCCGCCTTTCTCCTTCTCCCGCCTTTCTCCTTCTCTCCCCTTTCCCTTCTCCTTCTCTCCCTTCTCTCCTTCTCTCCCCGCCTTTCTCCTTCTCTCCGCCTTTCTCCTTCTCTCCCTCCGCTTTTCTCCTTCTCTCCTTCTCTCCTTCTCTTCCTTTCTCCTTCTCTCCCTTTCTCCTTCTCTCCCGCCTTTCTCCTTCTCTCCCGCCTTTCTCCTTCTCTCCCGCCTTTCTCCTTCTCTCCCGCCTTTCTCCTTCTCTCCCGCCTTTCTCCTTCTCTCCCGCCTTTCTCCTTCTCTCCCGCCTTTCTCCTTCTCTCCCCGCCTTTCTCCTTCTCTCCCTTTCTCCTTCTCTCCCCGCCTTTCTCCTTCTCTCCATGCTCCTTCTCTCCTTCTCCTTCTCTCCCGCCTTTCTCCTTCTCTCCCATTTTCTCCTTCTCTCCCCTTTCTCCTTCTCTCCCCTTTCTCCTTCTCTCCCTTTTCTCCTTCTCTCCCCTTTCTCCTTCTCTCCCTTTCTCCTTCTCTCCCCGCTTTCTCCTTCTCCCCTTTCTCCTCCTTCTCTCCCTTTCTCCTTCTCTCCATGCCTTTCTCCTTCTCTCCCCGCCTTTCTCCTTCTCTCCCTTTTTCTCTCCTTGCTTTCTCCTTCTCTCCCGCCTTTCTCCTTCTCTCCCGCCTTTCTCCTTCTCTCCCGCCTTTCTCCTTCTCTCCCGCCTTTCTCCTTCTCTCCCGCCTTTCTCCTTCATAAAAGATATGATGGCATAAACCAGTTGCAAAGGTTGTTTACTATTCTTCCAATTAAACCTTAATCTCTGGGCCCCATTGCTTGTCTCATATATATGAGGCAGACTCCCACTGAACTACTACATCTATGTACCATGTGGATTAATTGTTACCCCCCCCCAAAAAAAAACACTTCTTTTAGCAATATGTAATACAAAACTTGAATGCACGATGATTAAAAATGATTGGACGATGATTAAAAATGATTGGACTAAAAAGATTTGTAAGTAAATGTTATTGGGGAAAAAATAATGCATGGGTGTGATGAACAAATTTGTTTGAACAAATAGTTTCAGTTGGAAATTCAGGGTGTCCATTTTGTGTCATAAAATTCTTGTTTGAATTTGCTTGGTTTTATCGTTTGCAAGTTATGTGGGATTGAAAAGTTTGCCTTTAAACTAATGTTGACCTTTGATATTGCTAATGACCTCTGCCTAATTAGACCCTTGAAAAGTTCTTTGATGTGATCGGTCATTAATATTACCTGATAATTACTTTAATTATATATGAATGTCCTTCCCGTCTAGAGTGTGTAAATTATAAGATGTAGTATCTTGTGATCACAGCCTTTTTTTTTTTTTTTTTTTTCTTCTGGTGTTGTTGCTTATTAAAACCGCGTGTAGTGTTGTGTCATCTAAAATATATTTAAAGAACAAAAACGAAAAAAAAACAAAGCAGGACTGGAGAGTTTAGTTTCTGGTTCACTTCATATTGTTATATATTTCAGAATTCAAAGATATACAATTCTACTTTTTCATTTGAAAATACCTGATTCTTTTTTCCTACTGCTTCCCATTCTTTTTTCTCTCTCTCCTTTTTTTTCTCTCTCTCCTTTTTTTTCTCTCTCTCCTTTCTTTTTTCTCTCTCTCCTTTCTTTTTTCTCTCTCTCCTTTCTTTTTTCTCTCTCTCTTTTTGCTTCTCTCTCCTTTCGCTTCTCTCTCCTTTCTCTTCTCTCTCTCTCCTTTCTCTTCTCTCTCTCTCTTTCTCTCTCTCTCTCCTTTCTCTTTCTCTCTCTCTCTCTCTCTCTCTCTCCTTTCTCTGCTCTCCTTTCTCTCTCTCCTTTCTCTCTCTCCTCTCCATCTCTCTCTCTCTCTTCTCTCTCCCTTTCTCTCTCTTCCCTTTCTCTCTCTCTCTCCTTTCTCTCTCTCTCCCTTTCTCTTCTCTCTCCTTCTCTTCTCTCTCTCTCCTTTCTCTCTCTCTTTTTCTTTTTTTCTCTCTCCTTCTCTTCTCTCTCTCCTTCTCTCTCTCCCTTTCTCTCCATCTCTCTCTCTCCTAAAATCTCTCTCCTTTCTTCTCTCTCTCTCCTTTCTCTTCTCCTTTCTCTCTCTTCTCTCTCTCTCCTTTTCTCTCTCTCCCCTTTCTCTCTCTCCTTTCTCTCTCTCTCTTTCTCTCTCTCTCCTTTCTCTCTCTCTCCTTGCTCTCTCTCTTTTCTCTCTCTCTCCTTTCTCTCTCTCCCTCTCTCTTTCTCTCTCTCTCCTTTCTCTCTCTCTCCTTTCTCTCTCTCTCCTTTCTCTCTCTCTCCCTCTCTCTCTCCTTTCTCTCTCTCTCTCTCTCTTTCTCTCTCTCTCTCTTTCTCTCTCTCTCTCTCTTTCTCTCTCTCTCTCTTCTCTCTCTCTCTCTTCTCTTCTCTTCTCTCCTTTTCTTTCTCTCTCTCTTCTCTCTCTTCTCTCTCTTCTCTCTCTCTCCCTCTTTCTCTCTCTCTTCTCTCTCTCTCCTTTCTCTTCTCTCTCTCTCTCCTCTCTAAAACAATTATGGACTTGCTTAAAGTTACCCCATCAAAAAATGGGGTGCTGGGGGTTATGGTTTCATCTCTTTTATTTGTGTTGTCATCATATGAAACAGGAACCGCATTAGCTAGTAAAGTGAAACCAAGTTTGTTTGTTATTGGTGCAACACTGGGCGTAGAACCCTGTGAAGTAAGTGCACGGACATCAGCATTTAATGGAGAGATGAAGGCAATAAATGACTATGAGTCTTTGGACTTCCTTCTTGTTTACCAAAGATCAAAGATGAAACTAAAAAGGAAAGTTGAATGCAATGAATCTAAAATTGAATTGTAGCATTAGGAATCTGAGGATTAACAAATAGAGGAATTTTTTTTTTATTTATTTTCTTTTGAGGAAGAAAACTTATTTTTCTTTTGGGTAAAAGAAAATTGGTTTAATAACAACACATACATAAGAGAACAAAATGAAAACCTCTTTGTTCTTTACATGACTTTTTGTATTGCAAAAGCTGAATAGCAAATCTCTCTCTCTCTCTCGGTCATTTTGGCTCTCTTTTCCTTAATATCTCTGCTACTCCTACAATTCCTGCCTCTTTTTTTTTTTTTGTTTTTTGTTTTGTAAGTAAACACTGTTTTCACATATAAAGTTAATTGTCTCCGTAATGAGAAGGTACAATAGAGCTTAAGACATGGGGATAAAAAGGATTAATCCCATCTCTGAAATGGCTTGCTTCACAAGCCGCCTATTGATTAAATGGGTGATGGTGGATAGAGACTGTTGGCTGGAACCTTTTGAAGAGACCCGTTTGATAGAACCAGCCTTGTCTTTAAATACCATTCTTCTGTGATCAATCAGCAGCATTAATAGAGCTGGATTCCTACAAGGCTGCAAGCCAGACATAACAACAACAATTACCAGGGCACAACAAGAAAGGAAGGAAGCTTATGGTTGGGGGGTTGGTGGTGAACTGATGCTGCTCTTGGGGTTTATTTGCCAAGATTTCTTTTTTCTTTTTCTTTTCTTTCTCAAAGTTCTTGAGAAACTTCATTTATTATTATTCTTATTCTTTCTGTGTTTGTTGCTTTTGTCATCAGTAGGAAAAAAATGGTCAGAGTTAATTCCTCTGTTGTGTAAACCTTACCACGATGGCAAAATATATGCGGGGCCAACTTGGATAGTATGCGAGTGATTACAGTAAAGGCAACGCTTGAGATGTTTGTTGGTATCATCTAATCATCAGATGTATAGACATTTTTAGTTAATACCCGTATTTGAGTTGACACTAAGAAAATTGGAAAGGATTTGACAATGTGTCTCACTTTGCAGCAGGGAGGGATCACCATCCTGATCCAGTATGTTTTGACATTCACATTCCTCGTCACAGTCAAGCGATGATTGTATTTGCCTTAATGGTCATTCACCTGTTCAGATGTTTTTTTTTTTTTGTATCCCAAACATTATGCCAAGCAATTTCTAAAGAATTAATGGATTCAGTTTTTGTTTTTGTTACTAGAAATGTTATATTTTTTTTTTTTTTTTTTTTTTTTTTTTTACTGCATTTTCTAAATCCAATATTATATCTTACATTACTATAAATGTTACATCTAATGAGTTTTTGTGTGTTCGAGTAGTTCTCCTTTTCTCTCTCTTTCTCCTTTTCTCTCTCAACAGTAATGTTAAAGCATTCCCAACTTGATAGTGGTTTCCCAGATTAAAAAAGGGGTGAATATAGATCAATAAACTAAAATAAAAATAGAACCTTTTATTTGAAATGTCTGTATCTACTGTGAATAAATCATTCATTAATTCTTGAGACATATCTAATCTTTTAAAAAGGGGTCAATATATTTGTCCAGTTCACACTCCTCCCCAGTCTTTTGAACAGTAGAGGAATATACCTTGTTTCCTGTTTATGATTGGGTTTCCAATTTCTTCTAAAGTTTTATTTTTCACTTTCATGGCATTATCTCTTTGCTTCTGGTGAATTGAGATATATATCTTTCCAAGAGGATAGAATCCAGGTAGAGCTCAATGTCCAGGACAGAGTAAGAACAAAATATAAAAGGCTCAAACACTAATATTCCTTGGTTAGAATTTGTTACATTGGAATCATAATCATGATAGGTTTGATGGATTGTGATTATGATTCAATGTAATAAATTCTAAATCAAGAATATTAATATTTATATATATATATATATATATATATATATATATATATATATATATATATATATATATATTCATGATTCATTCATACAAAAAACAAATACAGAGGTTAATGATTTAAATGGCGAGAATACATCATCGCAAACACATAAGATACACCAACCCCGAACCTGTATATGAATGATATGATCCCTGTTTATAAATTCCAGGTCTATTCCTACAGACATCATCAGGTATGGAAGTAGATTTTGTTCTTGTTTTTACTTCTCAGTAATAAGAGGACAACGAAAATAGAGATGCAATCCCAAAAAATGCTATGAGAAATGTGTTATTGTTTTTTGGGCGATGCGGTCGCAACGCTGAGTTTGAATTTAAATTTTAGGTTGTGCATTTTTGTACAAATATAGCAATAAGAGAATTCTTTTTTTACTGGTAGATTTTCCGTGAATATGGCATGAACTATATTGTTCAATAATTACAGTAATGTCATACTTATTATCCGAGAGTTGCACGTTGGATCAGTTATTTTAATTTCAATTAAAAGGTGCAAATATTTATAAATTCATGAATCATTCATACAAAAAACATTTTTTTTAGCATTTTTTCGGATTGCATCTCTATTTTTGTTGTCCTCTTATTACTGAGAAGTAAAAACAAGAACAAAATCTACTTCCATACCTGATGATGTCTGCAGGAACAGACGAAAACTTATAAAAAAAATTAAAAAGACCTTATGCAACTGGAATTTATAAATATATAGGTTCGGGGTTGGTGTATCTTATGTGTTTGCGACAATGTATTCTCGCCATTTAAATCATTAACCTCTATATTTGTTTTTTTGTATGAATGATTCATAAATTATATTTGCACCTTTTTAATTGAAATTATATATATATATATATATATACTATTACAGTTCTTGCAGGTATGGGTGTTGGCAAGGACAAAGCTCTTAAGTATACTAACATTATTTGTTTATTTTTACTGATGATTGTAAGATTCTTATTTTGGTTGTGATGCTCACTGAATAAAAGCTAAAGAAATGAAAATATCTTTTCCACTGGAAAAAGCAAAAAAAAGCAAAAAAAAAAAATTGTACTTTATTCCTGTCTCTATATTTTCATAAAATTCAATCACATTTATTTCTTGTGTTAATAATGCTTGTCTCTATTTTTGATCTGAACTCTTAATGCTTTTCCTGTTTTTAGCCATTATGGTCTAGGAAATCTTGGAGCAAATGGATTTGACCTTATTCTTAGCACAGTTAAAAACTTTTCTTGTTTTGATTTCTGCTTTGAAATATATTTGGGCATCAATTGACTTTAGTATTTCAAACCGACTCCATTCCATCACATTTTGTACAGGGCCATGTCAAAATATACCTGTTAAGAAACATATTTTCAGTTGAAGAATATTGATTTTTTTTTTTTTTAACTTGAGTCTTAAAGACTTGAAATGTGAAAACATCTATTTTTACCTTACATATGAAAAGGTTTTGTTTTTATGTTAAATCATGGCTAATGTGTAAACTGATTAACTTGTCATGAACCCAGATAGTTTTTAAATGTAAATAAATATTTGATGCTGAATAAATATAAAATATATCATACACCCATATCTCTAACTTTTCATTTTTGCATTTATTATAAATTTCTGAAGTTATAATATATTTCTTCTGGGAAGAAAGTTGGTTTTATATAATAAATCGATTATTGTGTTGCATAATATAACTTAATGTCTTTTTTTATTGTGAATAGTATTCCAATTGATTCTTTTTTATTCTACCTTGGAAACTCCCTCCTTCATAAAGTTTAAAATTTAAGAATCATTTAAACATAACTTACTGTTAATTCTGTGTTCCTGTGTTGAAATTTCTTTAGTAAATAGATTTTATTTTAGTGAATTTCTGATAATGTTGTTCAAATGTTTCCAGTGAAAAACCAGTTTGTAAGTGTGTATTAAGTCTAATTGCCAGAAAATGTATGCTGGGAACTTTTGCACACATTTTATGTAGTCCCTCCCCTCTCATTATGAAAACTTGATTCATCCAGATCAAAATCTATTGAGGTACGATTGTTAGATTTGCCAAATAGGAATGTAAGCTATCAACTGTACAAATTTTGTTTCAAACATCTAATTTGTAAAGACATCTATAAATTGTAACAATATTTTACTGATTTTGCATCTAGACTAAAAAATATTATTAGAAATGATTTGAATTTGAACAATGAGATTTTTATTTAACAAAATCTGTCAACTGGATGTTGCGATAAACACAGTTAAAAAAGAGAAGAATGTCTGTAATCTTAAATTTAAAAATGACGAACTTAATGATATTTAAATCACAATGTCAGTATTGTAATTTTTTTTTTTTTTCCTAGCCCCCCCCCCCAAAAAAATTCAATAGTGGAGATATTTTTTTTTTTCACCCCCCCATCCCATAGTGGAGATACTTTTTTTTTTTTGCTCCCTACCCCCCCTCCCAAAAATCCAATAGTGGAGATATTTTTTCCATTAGAAAACATTGATCAAATGCTTGAAATTATCAGTTTGTCGAAAATTTTAAGGTTTGATTTTTACACTGGATTATTGGAGGATGTTGATTTTTTTTTTTTTGTCAGATTAAGAAATTTTCAACAATAAATTTTGAATGGATTTTTTTATTTTGTCTTTTAGGATATTAGTTACGTCTTAAGTTGTTTGTTTTATTTACAATATGATAAATATTGTTCAGGCTTACAAAGAGTACACCCACCTTCTGGTTACCCTGGAGTTTGCTTTCTTAAAACACAGTGAGGGCATCTGAAGGTAGCAATGGTATAACCATAGATTTTAAAAGGGAAATTTTGACTTTTTCATGTCAGAATATTTTCAGCCTCTTATAGTGGCCAATAAAATGATTCATAAATCTGTTTGCTATAATCAATCTGGAGATGGCTATGAAATAATTTTAATTGGTATTTAACATTTGATTTTGAAAGCAAAAGATTAAGTAACATTTCAAATTTCATTTGTTTGGC